CCTGGAGGGATCCAGCCACCATAAGGGGACTCCCAGCCCCATTGGGACCTTGCAAGTCCTCACATGCATCTTTCTGCAGATGGTCTATGTGGGACGCAACGCCAAGGACGTGGCTGTCTCCTACTACCACTTTGATTTGATGAACAAGTTTGAAGCACATCCCGGAACATGGGCCGAGTACCTGGAGGAGTTCATGGCTGGCAGAGGTGGGACAGGGCACCCCTGAGTGCATGCAGGGGACCCTGCAGGGGACTGTCACCTACTGGCTTCTCTCCCCATGCAGTGGCGTATGGTTCCTGGTACGACCACGTCAAGGGCTACTGGGAGCGCAGGAAGGATCACCCCATTCTCTACCTCTTCTATGAGGACTTGAAGGAGGTGATGGGGCAGGGGGGATGGTGGTGTGAGGGGGTCCGGGGGTGGCAGGAGGGGTGAGTGTCGGCCTGTGTCGCACAGGACCTGCGCCGGGAGGTTGCCAAGGTGGCCCAGTTCCTGGGGCAGAAGCTGTCGGATGCGGCACTGGACACCATCACCCGACACACGTCCTTTGAGGCCATGAGGGACAACCCTGCCACCAACTACACCAATATTCCCTCCGACCTCATGGACCAGAGTGTGTCGCCCTTCATGCGCAAAGGTGAGCGGCTGTGGGGGCCTGGCGCACTGCCTGCCCCGGCCCCTGCTGAGCCCCATCTCTCCCGGCCACAGGCACCACCGGGGACTGGAAGAACCACTTCACCGTGGCCCAGAACGAGCGCTTTGAGCAGGACTATGCGCAGAAGATGTCAGGCACCGACCTGTGCTTCCGCACTCAGATCTGAGGGGACGTTGCTGGACGCCCCCCAGATCCGCCCTGTGCTGTGGTGGTTCTGATGCCATTCCTTCCCTCCCCTGGAACTGCTGGAGAGAAATAAAATGTGCTCCCTGACCCTGCCATGGGGTGCTGCTCACTGTCCTGAGCCTCTGCTGATCCCAACCCAAGGGTCCCCCTGGGGCTGCTGTTCTCTTCTTGGGCTGGGACAAGCAGGTGTCACCCCTCAGCCGCTGTTGGGGGTGGGGAATGCCACCAGCATCTCATGGGATCCCAGAGGTTTTTGACAATACTGCATGTGGGGAACATGTTGAGTTCCTCTCCCCCCTCACACAGCAGGATGTTGCCTGGGATCTGTGGGGAAGAGCATTACTTCTGGGGCTGAAACATGTTCTGTGGCCCTGCTTGCAGGTCAGTGGCTGCCGGTTTCTCCCTGCCCTCGCTCCTCCCTTCCCTGCAGCCACAGCGTTGGTAAACATTACTGCCCTCAGCACCCTGCCTCTCTGCCCTTAAAAACTGCTGCTGTCACCCTCCTGTTATCACCCTCCTGACGTCACCTTCCTGGAGTCGCTGTCCCGGCGTGGAGCAGCACGTCTGAGGTGAGACCGGTCTGCCTGGGTGCTCTGTCCATGCTCATCTGCACAGAGCTGCATGTGTGGGGGTGCTGGGTAGTGGGTTTGGGGTACTTCGGAGTGCAATCGGCACCCCTAAACCTTCCCCTGCTCTGGGGTCTCCTGCAATATCCCCAGGGATATTGAGACAGAGGCAAGGGCAGTGTTCAGTTCCAGTTCCCTGCTCCCCATGGGTGCTGAGGCAAGGGAAGAGGTGCTTGCTCTGGGTGATGCTGGCATGCTGTTGGGGCCCCTGTCCTTGCTGGGGCTCTGGGTGTGCTCCTGCCACTGCAGTTGGGCCCCCTGTTCCCAGCAGTGGGTGCAGCCATGGCCGTGGTGCCCTCTGGTGCTATCACTGCTGCTCCCCAGGCAGGAATGGTGTCTGGTGACCAGGCTGCCCTGGCCATTGCAGCCTGCCTGCTCTTTTCCCAGATCCTTCCTGCCCCAGCAGCAACTCTCCCACTAAAACAAACGATTGGCAGGATGACTGAGAAAGTCACGGGGAAAGGCTTGCCATGGGAGCATGAACAGCAAACATTCATGAAAAGGTGGAATGGAGAGAGCAACTCCTCCCTTTTGGGCTGGTCTAGATAAGTCTCATCATGTCCATACCCATGGGATTTGTGGATTTGCCCATCACCATAGCATGCTGCTTTCCCTGGGAGGTTGGACAGATACTGGCAAGATAGGGGTGTGCCACATCTGCAGGGAGCTTGGGAAAGTCTGCTGCTGCTCCTCACTGACAAGGACAGGGTGCAGCACCTATTCTTCCACCAACAATGCAGATTCCTAGCAGGGACACCAAGCTTGGCCTGAACCTTCTCTCACTTCTTTAATGTTTTGGCTTTGCAGAGTGGAAATGGCTCCCATGCCAGTCACCCTTACTGCTGTTGTTTACTTGCCAAGGTGCCCCTGCAGCATTACAGCAGCAGTGAAGAGAGTTCATAGAATCTTAAAATGAATAAAAAAATCCAAGTGTCTGTAAACCTACTCTGTTTTTTTCATCCTGCAGTAACAGTGCAGAGGTAAAAAGATACAATTTATTCAAGAAAGATGGTCACGGTGAGGCAATTTCATCTCATTAACTTTTGCTGGAGTTTCCTAAACCCCAGGGATTACAAAGCACATTTGCTTTTACTGAGTGTATGCACATGTGACTTTGCAGAATTGCTCAATCCTGTCACATCTGCATGTAGAGATGAGCCAACTTTGAAATTTTCCCAATTTAGTACACTCCCTTCCTGCCAATCAGCCCCTCCCCACCCCCCCAAAAAAAAAAAGCTAGTGAAGACTTTTTAAAGTCTGCTTTCAGACCAGAAGCTGCTTCATTGCATTAAGTGAAAGGGAAAGCACAGAGCCATTTGGTGCTTCTTCAGGGCAAAAGCTTCCCTTTTCCACCCTGGCCCAGAATTTCTGGGGCTCTGGCTGGCATGGAGGTTTCCTGGAAATCAAAGTGCCATGCACACTGCGACCCCCAGCCAGCACAATGGTGAAGAGACCCGTGTGTGGAAAACATCAGTTTGCATTGCCTAACTTTTGCATGAGGGCCTTAGCCTTGAAAAGCCTGTTGTTTTTTAACAGGGCTGGAGGTTGCATCACTATCTGCAGCACTTCTGTTAGTAATGTTAGATGGGTGAAATACAGACACTTAACACCATCTAATTTCTTCTGCTCCACTTCTCTTTCATGTGCTAGATTTTGTAGTTTAATCCTCTCAAAATGCTCATCTTCTCTGATCTGAGTAATCTGAGTATCATCTTTAGAACTGGCCATGGAAACAAGACAATTTAAACTTTTTGGTTCCCCTAGAAATTGCTCTTGTTTGCTATGGAGGAATTTGATACTAAGGGGTTGGAAACAAAAAACAAGTTCCCATCTAAGGTTTTTTTCCAGGCAAGTGGTCACAGCACCAAGCCTGAGGGAGTTCAAGAAGCATTTGGACAATGCTCTCAGGCATGGTGTGATTCTTGGGGCTGTCCTCTGCAGGGGCAGGAGTTGGACTTCAATGATCCTTGTGAGTCTCTTCCAGCTCAGGATGGATTCTATGGCTCTGTGATCTGCTCTAGCCCATATGAACATGGCCTTTCAGTAGTTGCTGGGAAAATTAGAAGTTTCTTATAGGACTTCATATAATAAGCTATATTAGCCTGAAAAAAATCTTACTCTGGATACACAGGTCTGCGGAGAGACTGTAGTGAAATTCCTGGCTGTAAGGCCAAATTATGGTTGAAACATGCTGGCATAATAGTCCTGGATTCTGAGGGTAACAAACAATTTTGTTTGTTACATAGTAACAAACCTGGGACCATAAAGGGAGTAAAAAAGTATTTTTAGCAGTCAGACACCATATTTCTTATCTCTTGCATACAAAATCTTCCCAGGAACTTGGCTCTGTAACAACATTTTAGTATATCCTGGCAAGGGAAATACCATCTCAACCATTAAATTCCCAGGGCATAACAAAGCAATGAACAAGTACAGAATCCATGCCTTGTTGCCATCATCCCGTATTTTATTACTTCCTCCTTTTGAAAAGTCCAGAGGGTAATTTACTTAAGCTCCTTCTGCCTGATAACCAATCCTGCTGAAGCAGCCCAGGCACAGAGGAGGAGAGCAGCAAGGAAAAGCAGCAAACAGGTGTAGCATATTGCACCTTGCAACTCAGAGCACAATGTTTATGTACCTTGGAAGATTCTGCTAGGTAAGAGTTTTTTGCTGCATGGCATTTGTTCCCCAAATTGTGTTGATCGAGTGTGTCATTGTATGTGTGGGTTTTAGTTGCGATTTTGGCTCCAGGTGGTTAAAGAACTGCTTCCAGGCATGGTGTTTATATTCAAGGGACAACTTTCCAAGTGAGAGCCATCCCAGATGATATAGGTTTTGCTCTTTAGCACCTTTAGGGCCCAGAAGAGGCCCAGAGCCATGTTTAGATATCTGAACTGAGCCCACAACATGACCAGGTTGGTGGTGATGTGTCAGAGGCAGTAGCAATGGACTCGCTGTCCATTGTTATCTGGGAGCAGTTGGAAGCTACCAGTGACCTATTAGAACAAATTGTCTTGTTGTTATTTGCATTATCATCAACCAAAGGAAGGATTTGTTGACTTCTCCCAGCATAAGAAATATCAGCACTTTTATGCAGAAATATCAGCATCTCACTGTGAAAAAGGATGACACATCCAGATCAGCCCTGTGGCCTCTTATTCCTTGGCCTGCCTCTGGCATTGCTAGTTCATGGAAAAAATGCAAGGGATTTGTTTGAGTCTCAGGGCTGGCATCCAGAGGACTGGCTCCTTTGACAGCAGGGAGGATTGCTGTCATCCTCCTACCAGGAGAATAGAACTCCCTTTAGTGGGAAGCTAACAGGGTAGAAGGCAGAAAGGGAAAAATGAATCACCAAACTTTTATTTTCTTTTCAGAGCTCAGACAAAACACAGGTTATAAAGGCACTACCTGTGCAACAGCAAAGTCTCTCTTCTGCTAAAAGTGCTACTAAGGAGCCATCAAACACAACTTAGAGGTGCAGAATTCCCAACTGGAAGGGAAAATTCCCGGACTATCTATTCCCTGACTCTGCCATGGCCATGAAAACAACTGGCTCAAAGAAATACCTCCAGCTGCTCCTTTTTCAGGTTGCCCTTCTAGGGCCTGTCTTCTGTGGGAAGGTACTGGTTTGGCCAACAGAAGGCAGCCACTGGCTGAACATGAATGTAATGGTACAGGAGCTCATCCGCCGTGGGCACAGCTTTACCATCCTGGTAGCCAATGCTAGCCTCTTCATTGAACCCAGGCCTAAGACCACGGAGAAGTTTGAGATCTATAACGTGCCCTATGGGAAAGATTTACCTGAGACCCTGCTTAATGATATAGTGGACCTATGGCTCAACCACAGGCCAACCATCTTGACCTTCTGGCGGTTTTACAAGGAGCTGGGAAGACTGTCCATAGGCTGGCAGGAGATGAACAAGATGATGTGTGACGCAGTGCTGAACAACCAAGAGCTGATGGATCGTCTGCAGGGCTCTGGCTTTGACCTGCTGCTCTCAGATGCCGTGACCCCCTGTGGGGAGCTCCTGGCTCTCAAGCTGGGCATTCCCTTTGTCTACTCGCTACGTTTCTCCCCAGCCTTCACTCTGGAAAGGCACTGTGGCAAGATCCCAGCCCCACCATCCTACACGCCTGCAGCCCTCTCTGAGCTCACTGACCGCATGTCTTTTGGGGAGAGAGTAAAAAACTTTGTTTCTTACCACCTGCAAGACTATGTTTTCCGGAGCTACTGGGGACATTGGGATACCTACTACAGCAAGGTCTTAGGTAAGCCTTCTGATATTTCACTTCTTGTTATACAGTCTGTCCTTATGATCTGCAGAGCTAGGAACCCACCAGGGTCACAAAGTCAAGAGAAAGATCAGCAAGAGTTTGTCTATTGTCCCTAAAAAGGAGCTGAGCCACAAGCAGTCAGGGTGCTGTGCTGCTAAGCCATTGCATAGAGAGAGGATCAGGGTCATTCCAATTGATGGATTTGACTTTTGTCATAATTGTAGCATGGAGTTTGATATGACTTCCACACCATACAGGGCTCTCAGCAAGGGTGACTGCTTGCACAGAAAGCAGCCAAGAACAGAGCCCTTTTCCTCATCCAGAGGACCATAACAAGGAGGGGAGAGCTGGTGAATTACAAGCTGGCCTTGTCAGCCTCAGTAGCAATATTTAAGTGCATTGTGGCTTTGTAATAGAGACCTCACTTATGTCACTGGTCATATAAAACCAATTCTCTCTGCACAAAACAAGTTTTGTTTAGCATATACCCTCCTACCCACAAAGCAAACTGAAAACAACAAACCTTTCTCTGCAGGCTTTTCTTCTGGACTGTATTGAGTGATCAGGTAGAAAAATATGTTTATTATTAATCACATGTCATTTCTATTACCTTCCCATTGAGCTCTTTAAAAAGACTCCTTGCAAATCTTTCAGTGTTCAATTGCCTGCAAATACCTGCATGATGCAAGACTCCACCAGTACACCAAGCTGGTGTCATGGATACAGTACATGGGGTATTTCAGTCTGGCTCTTCACAGTCCAGCTGTCACCTTCCATGACCCACATTTTTGTCCCAGAAAGGGTGTGTAGGCAGCATGGAAACCATACCAAAAGCCTTGGACGACAACACTAGGAAACCATTGTGTAACAGCACTGGGCAGAAATCCTGTAATAATGATTCTTTTGCACACAAAAGGGAACTTACAGTATTTCTTAACTGCACATCAGGAGGGACCACATAAATTAAACTGATGGATTTTCTGGTTCAATTTATAGTGCATAATTGGCTCTTAGTAGCAGGCAGGAAGCCTGTACTATCCCCTCCTGGTCTCCCACAGTGCTCTGTAGGAGGCAAGTTCACACGAGGACAGTCTTACTCTGATATTGGAGTAATTTGCTGTGTAGTTTCATGCATTTGAGATGCAACTCTTGGGCTGCAGCCCTGGATCAACAACTTAAGTGTGTTCTAAAGGAATGCTTAGTGGCTTTATAAAAGCAAAAAAGTTGCCCACACAGTCAGTGAACATCTTTGCTACCTACCCAGCTGTGTTTCAAAGAGCCAGAAGAATGAAAAAGTTACCTCTTCTACCAAACAAGTAACACAGAACCTGTAGTTAGATGGGCAGGAGGGACAGAATTACCAACAGGATACAATCCTTGCTGGACTGAGCCCCCCAGGGCTGATGGCTCTCTCTGCTGCTCCAGAGAAATCACATCTTCCAGCTTCAGCGAGCTGCTTACCACCAGAGGGTGCCAGCTGGTGCCAGTCACCTTTTTTGTGCCCTAGGTAAACATGATATTAAGCATGCCATTATCCAGTACAGGATTTCACACCACCTACCTTTGGCTCCCTGCCCTCGGGATCAAGGCAGCGTCACCTCCCAGCCCAGTTCAGGAGTGCCACTGCTCCCGGTGAAGGAAGGCCACAGGGGCATTGCCACACAGGGCAGGCTATGGCAGGGAAGGAGGTGGCTGTGCTGGTGCTGCTGGCCCTGCTGGGCTGGGGGTCTGGGGGGAAGGTGTTGGTCTGGCCTGCTGACAACAGCCACTGGCTGAACATGGAGCACATACTACAGGAGCTTGTGGCCCGGGGCCATGAGGTGACCGTGCTGCTGCCTTCGTGCTTCCTCATCGTCAATCCCACCAAGCCCTCGCCCTTCCAGTTTGAGGTGATTGAGGTGCCAATCACCAAAAAGGAGATGACTGACTTAATGGATAAAATGTTTTATTTTTTTTTTAATGAGGAGAAAGGGCTACCTATCTGGAAAGGTACTTACAAGATAGTTCAAATGATATTGCAGATGAAGAACATAACCAAAATAATTTGTGATGGAGTTGTGAAGAATGAGGCCCTGATGGAAAGACTGAGGGCATCTGCCTTTGACCTCCTTTTGGCAGACCCACTGTTTCCCAGTGGGGAGCTGGTTGCCGAGAAGCTGGGTATCCCCTTTGTGTATACGTTCCGATTCTCCATGGGCAACACGGTGGAGCGGCTCTGTGGAACACTCCCATCACCTCCTTCCTACGTACCAACCACCCTAACCAGGCTAACGGATAGGATGACCTTCTGGGAAAGGCTAAAAAACATCCTCGGCTATGCTCTGCATGATTTCATGTTTCATTACGTTCTCTGGGCAAACTGGGATCAATACTACAGTGAAGTTTTAGGTAAGGCTGCTCTCTTTCCAGAAATTACATCTGCTGTGCACACAAGAGTAAATTCTCAGAGATGAGAGGTTAAGGCACAAATCAGGAGCAAGACAGCCCCAAATTCACTCTCCTTCCTTCAAAATTCCTGCATCAAGTCAAGCAATCCAGGCAAGTACAAACATTGCCTGTTAATCCTGACCTGTTACAGTGGTAGAGCTAAGTCTGTACAGTTACTTCCAGGATATGTAAAACAGTGCTAAAGCACTTGAAACAGGGCTCATTAGTCATATTCATAGATGAATCATGACATAAACTAAAACAGTAAAATACTATATACCCAACAAACACTAGTACTTTTTCTCCCATAGCACACTTCTTACTTGCTACCTTGTCTCAAAATTAGAGGCAATATCCTCCTCTGGACCTTTAAAAATACGGGAGATTAGATGAGCCCCAATTCACAGTGATAAAAGGCCGTCTGCAGAGACATGGTTCTTTGCTTTTCTGAAAGTGTCTGAAAAACTATTATAGTTATATTTATTTGTAAGTTGTTAATTTTTAAAAAAATAATAGTTGTGTAATTGTTTTTCCATTTTTGTGGGGAGATAAAATGGGTATTTCAATATGAGACTTTAAAGTGTTTTTATTTATATTTCACTAGTAAGGTGTAATTCTGAGTAACAACTTAGCTGAGAGAGCTAAGTTGTTAAGGTATCCTACTCTTAAGAGTATCTAGCGGTGCCTTTGTGTTGCTTATCATATTGTGATGACAGAGACAAGAAAATCTTGTGCTGGCTGAAGCACAGTTTGGAGTCTGTTGTGTAAGCCTCAGAGCTGTTTGGATCTTGTGGTGTCTTTTTTTATTGTGAACTGCAGGGTTTAGCATTTAAGGCTCTATGTGCAATACCTGTTTGGTTAGCTTGCATGGGCTGCATGATGGACTTGTGCTGAAAAGAGTTTTGATAACATAGGGATGTTTTAATTACAGCTGAGCAGTGCTTACAGAGTGTCAAGGCTTTTTCTGCCTCTCAGCCCACCCCACCAGAGAGGGGGCTGGAGATACACAAGAAGTTGGGAGGGGACACAGCTGGGACAGCTGACCCCAACTCACCCAACGAATACCCCAGCCCATAATGCTTTTGTGCTCAGCAAAATAAAAGATATAGGGGAGAAATTTGTCAGGGCTGATGTTTCTCAGGGACTCACTGGACATTGGCTGGTAGTGAGCAACTGTTCTTTTTGCTCTTTTTCCTTTTTCTTTTTTTTTTTAAGTTGTCTCATTCTCAATCCTGAGTTTTCTAACTTTTGCCCTTCCTTTTCTCCTCCTACTGTGGGAGATTCAGAGGCTCTGTGGTGCCTATCTGCCTATCAAGATTAAACCACAACACAGGGAAAAGGCTTCTAGTCTTCACAGCACAAAGTGCTGCAAAATGCACTTTGTGGTGAGCAGATAGGAGCTGCTGTAATTTTGAGATCAGCTGTGGCTCTGCAGAACACTCCAGAATGAGATTTACCGCTTGCCCAGCCCTCCCATGAATGTTGTTTTGTGTTATGACGTTTGCCAATCTTGTAACGTTTGCCAGTCTAGTCACCAAACAAATGCCACTTGTAATTGGTTGGCTCTAAAATATTTGCACAGTGAAGCCCTGAACTCTTTCCACTTCAGTCAGACCAGAGCTGTACATGGAATGCTGAGATGTTGGGGCCAAAGTTCCCCTGGCTGCTCTGGGCCTACACATGCTGCTGCAGCACTGTTTTTTGTGGGAGGGTGGTGGTCTGGCCCACCGATGCCAGCCACTGGATCAATGTGAAAGTGCTTCTGCAAGAGCTCGTTCTCCGGGGTCATGAAGTGACTGTGCTGGTGCCCTCAAGCAATCTGCTCATCGACTACCAGGACACCTCCTCCCCTTTCACTTTTGAGGTCCTGCAAGTCCCCTTTAGCCAGGAGACCCTGGATGCCTTAATGGAAGACTTTCTCAATTTCTGGATGAATGAAGCCTTTAATCTCTTCCCCTGGGAGATCATGTGGACGATGAAAGAGCAATTGGAGGCCTTTACCAATATGTCAAAGCAGACCTGTGACACCTTGGTGATGAACTCTCACCTGTTGGCAAAGCTGCAGCAGGCCAAGTTTGATGTTCTGATCGCTGACCCCCTGTCTGTAGGTGGGGAGCTTGTAGCAGAAATGCTAGAGATCCCTTTTGTCTACAGCTTCCGCTTCTCAGAGGGGAATGTGATAGAGCGGCTGTGCGGTGGGCTCCCGTCCCCACCTTCCTATGTGCCTGCCAGCACAATGGGGCTGACACACCATATGTCCTTTGTGGAAAGACTACAGAACTTCCTCTTTTACATTTTCACGGATTTATTTTTCATGAAGTTTTGGAGAGATCAATGGGATGGGTACTACAGTAATGTCTTAGGTAAGGCAGCTGTTGAGCGGTTTCTTTTCTTGCATAGGTTGTGCCTTTTGAATGTTTTGGGACTGTCATGCTGTTGTCTCAAGATACTCTTTCTCAAAGGCCAGCAGAGGTGGCAATCCTGAAGTATCTTGCAATTCTGTATAGTGCAGGATGCTGAGTGTGAGCTCAGATTCTCAACAATAAATGCTGTCACCTTTCCCTTTAATCCACCATTCAGAGTTTGAAAGAGTCTCCTTAAACTACATACATACCTGAAAATTTTACTCCAACATAGTACAACTCAGGCATGATTCAACATTTAACAAAGAGTTCATTTTAGTTCAATGGACTTTGAATCTTTTCTAGGGTATCTAAGTTTAGGTTGATAACGAGTGAACAGCAAACACAAGGGCATTTCTTCTGTTTCTGTCCAATCTTTTCCTGCATTTGCAAAGAATGCCTTTGTGCTCTGAAATCTAGTCCCTCTTCACCAGATTTAATTTTTTAATCCAACATAAAGATTTAATTACACCTTTATATCACTCTACTTGTAATGCAAACTTAATTTTCACTTCAGCAACTTCATAACTGACTCATTGCTCTCTAATTTAAATATAAATAAAAAATTACTGGTGTAGATTATTATACTGATCAATTAGTGTAAGAAGATGCCCTACGGGATAATTTTTATCTTGCTGCTTATTTAGGTTGATTCCTGCTTGCATTAGGCTGGCTTTGGGAAACTATTAATCAATATTTCTAACCCTTTTACGCCCCAGTTTCACATTGTGGAGAAAATACTGCAAAGAAAACTTGCAACATCTACCTAAGAATATATATTTTGCCAAATGGTAAACTATTAAACATCAGATTACCAATAGATTTTTTTTTCAGATGGATTTCTAGAAATATTGGATATTGCATAAAATGACATTAAAAGTATCTATGAAGTTGTCCAATTTTTCCCAATATGTGTCAGAAGCAGCTGATCCAGTCCTCAAGAATACTAGAGATGTCTGTACCCGTGTTTTATTTGTTATCTGAGCAGCCACTAAATGACTCACCATTTGAAAAATGCTACAGAACTTTGTTTAAAAACTTTCCTCCTCCCTGACAGGTGATAATCACTCTGTGATTCATTCATTTTTTGGAATTTGGAACTAAATTTTCTGTGATTGTTCTCTTTCCCAAGTGTGTTCTGTTTTTACTACAAGCACTTCAAGAATTGCACTTCTATATCAGATACTAAAAGCTTCTTGCTTGTATTTCTCTGAAATAATCATGAAGGTTCAAAATCCTTTTAAGGATTGTACCTTGTGGCCACCTGCTAAAGCTGAGCACAGGACAGGGCAAGGAATAGATCCAGATTTGTTGATGTTTTCATTTTATGCATGGTTTGATAAACTATGCTGATTGGGAGAGCCAAAAGACAAAGGTAAGGCTCCTGTTTCACAATCCAGAGCAAACAAGGTCACTCCCGTGCATGTTGTAAACCTCTTGTACCTTGTCCACAGGAAGGCCCACAACCCTGTGTGAGACGATGGGGAAAGCAGAGATTTGGTTAATCAGAACATACTGGGATTTTGAATTTCCACGTCCTTTCCTGCCCAACTTTGAGTTTGTTGGAGGACTTCATTGCCAGCCTGCAAAACCATTACCAAAGGTATCCCAACTTCGTTTTTCTGTTAGCTGGTTTGTTACAATGACTGTTTCTCTCCCTAACAACCACACAAGCCCTGTCCTGGAAAAGCTCATTGTTATTTAGCATCTGTCCATCCTTGTCCAAACTGACAAGGATCCCTCCAAACTGAGGGCTGGTTTACAGCCTGCTGTCTTAAAAGAGGATAGCTGATGTCAGCACGGGGTAATAGAGTGTCTGTTTTAGGAGAAAATAGGTGCTACTTCATGGTACTTAAATGTAATATTTAATTCTAAGACACAGACTTGCAGCCCATGATAACATTGAAATACCTGATGCCAGAAGGCACTGTGACAAGACAAATTCTTTAGGTAAAACAGGGTCAAAACTTGCAGAAATAGATGAGTGATAAACACTTTTTCTTTTTGTACCTTAGTTTAAGACAGCTTAAAGGGAGTAATGCACTGAGTATCTCCAGCTTATGCTCTCTGTGAATTGAAGTACTCAGGTGGAATTTGAAACTCCCAAATACTGAAGATGACAACATGATAAGCTCTGGTGTAATTATCTTTTCTGTAGGAGCCTTGGAAGATAAAGGCCAACTTCAGTGCAAGTTTTCTACTAAAAGAAACCTTCTAACTCTCTTCCCACTCCCCTGTAGCATGGGTTGAGCTTGGGGAAAATGGATAACCATTCTCTTTTGCATGTTACTGCTCCAGTTCACATGATACTAACTAATAAAAGGAACAGGAAAACCTATTGGTCTGATGTGTAGATGATGTTTTGAGCAATGTGGTACATTGTAAGAAATGAGAACTGTCTGACTAGCAAAGTGACAGCACCAACTTGGTGAATCTGTGATCAGGATGCTGAAACACCCTCTCAGGTTTCAGCAGAGTTATGTAATACAAAGTACTTGTTCCAGTAAAATCCAGAACCATGATCATGCTAAGGAGAGTGTCACAGAGTATGTATGGCCTGCTCATGATAATGCCAGGATTCATTCCTGCTGCTTGAAACGAACCCCAAAACTTGCTTTCAAAAAGACAAAGCATCTGTCACCTGTCTCAACTTGTCCTGCTCCTCGTTTGGGAGAAACTGACTGTTTTCCACAGGGCCAGGTCTGTCTTTGTCAAGCCCTTCTGTCAGGAGGTGTTCGCACCACCATCATTTCCTTAATAAGCTGAAAAGGTTATGCTCTCTATTCACAGAAATCTGTGAAATCTGCATTGTGTAATTACCCCCGGTATGTTTTCTGCCTCTCCTAGGAAATGGAAGAATTTGTTCAGAGCTCAGGGGAACACGGCGTCATCGTATTCACTCTTGGGTCAATGGTCCACAGCCTAAGTGATGAAAAAAGTAATGTGATTGCCAAAGCCCTCAGCCAGCTTCCACAGAAGGTGAATTTCTTTTCAAGCCTCAAACAAGTTGCCTTGGTTTTTTCACTCCCTTTTATGTTTGGAGTGACCTGTTCTTTACCTGGAATCCCTGCTGGATGTGATACATCCAGGAAGCTGGGTTCTCTCAGAGAGACACACAGCTGAGTTATTTCATGGGGAGTTCTGGTGTTTCACCTCCTCTGACCCAAATGACATGGAGGTGCATCTACAGGCCAAAATACAAAAATCACTCCATGCATTTTTTATAATTAGCACATAATAACCAGTCAAAGAGTTCAACTGCAGCCAAAGCTATCTAAATTATTGGAAAAGGTATATGGGTTTGAGATAAAGCTCTAAATTACATGTGATAATAGAGAAAGGCACATCACATGCACTGTGTTTATCTTATTCTTCCATTGTTCAAGGTCCTCTGGCGGTACAAAGGGAAAAAACCAGAAACTCTGGGCTCCAACACCAGGATTTTTGACTGGATACCACAAAATGACCTGCTTGGTAAGACTGTTTCTATGTGGGATGGATTGCATGCTTGGAAAAACTGTTTCCTTTTTTCTTTCCACTAGAATGGTTAAATCTAGCCAGAACCATGTAATGCTTGTGGATATACTTAGTTTCATTCTTAAGCTGCAGAGCTTTGCTCTTGGGAGCCTTTGTTTCCTAAAAGGCTCTGACTTAGAGAGCTTGGTGGCAGTTGTCTGAAGGGCTCATAAGCACCTGTAGGCAGGAGTAAAGACCAAAGTAGATATGTGCTCTGGAGTTGGATTTGGCCTCTGCAGTTCATCTCCAGGACTCATTCTTCAAAATGCTTGACCTAAGCAAGGCTGAAGCACGGGTCTATTCTCACTCCGATACCGTGTGAAAACTACAACTGCACAATAGCAAAGGGCTGAAGTAACTGTGGGGTAGTCTGGAGGGACGTGCTGATTCACATGTTGTGTTAAAATAATTATGACTGCGTGAAAGCTAAGAATGCAAGCTCTGCTGCTGATCCAGAGGTCAGGGCTGTTCCCTTCTCTAGCAGTGCATTGTCCCCTCTATGCTGTGTTCACATCCCAGTGAATGCAGCCTGCCACAGCTGCTGTAACACACCCCTCTCCTTCTTTGTTCCAGGCCATCCTTTGACAAAGGCCTTTATTACACATGGTGGGACCAATGGGCTCTATGAAGCCATCTACCACGGGATCCCAATGGTTGGGATTCCCATGTTTGCTGACCAGCATGACAACCTTGCTCACATGGTAGCAAAAGGAGCTGCAGTTCAGGTGGACTTCAACACAATGAAGACACAGGATCTGGTTGATGCCCTGAAGACAGTAATTTACAATTCCACGTGAGTTTTGCTCTTGTCTTACAGTACTCTTTCCCTAAGTAGATGTTATTAAAACCCTGGGCTGCTCATGTGAAAAATTCTGCTGGCTCTTCTGGGAATGGAAAATGAAGAGTAGCTGAAGTTTGGATTTCAGATGAAGGCCATCTTTCCTGTCTGAGAATCAGCATTTCTCAAAAAGGAGAGATCAGTAATTTGCTTTTCCTTATACTGCATTTTATGAGTGCTTTGAGAAAAATAGGTCTTGGAAACTTCAGAGGAGCTTTTGAGAGTTCTCTACTAGTGTAAATCCTCTGGAGGACTTAATTCTAGTTTTATTAGATCTTAGCTGCCTGTAGTCATAACAGTTTTTTCTCCTACCCCTGACTTAGCAGTATTCTTAGGTTATTGTACCTATCAGTCAGGACTTAGAGGAGAAGGAAGCCCAGCAGCTGGAATTGCTTGCTAAGGATAAGACCACAGACAAAGGGATTGGAAAAATGCAGAAGTCCTCAATCTTTAGCAGCAACTCCCATCCAGTGTGAAGGACAGGTGTTCCTTCAAGTAAGAACCTGCAAATTTCTGAATCAAATGGGCCAGCACTGATGGAGGTATCTAGTATCTGAGAGAATCAGCCACGGTGGAGGTGATCTGTACCAACCAGGATGGCAGCTGGTACATGAGCTTGACACCATAGGGTCTGGAATCCCCTTAGGTCAGTTGGGATCAGCTTTCCTTGCTGTGCCCCCTCCCTGGTGGGGTGGTGTGACAGACAGAAAAGGCCTTGACTCAGTATAAGCTCAGCAGTAAGGAAAACATCCCTATTGTATCAGCACTGCTTCCAGCACAAATCCAAAAAATAGCCCACACCAGCTACTGTGAAGAATGCTAACTCTATCCCAGCCTAAATCAGCACACTATTATACTGGAACAGAAATGCTGCAAATACTTCAATGTTGTTTTTTTATTTTTAAGGAGTATCTGGAATAATTTTGAATAACTTTTTTTTTTGCAAAATACTGGCTTTCTCTATTACTATTCTTAACCCAGTTTTATGCATAGAGGAATAAACTGGACCAGCTTCAAATATTTATATAAGACTGATGAAAGTAAAAGCAGGGCTGTCTACCTTCCTCAAGAGGACTGCCAGGTGCTAAACGGTTTATTTCAGAAGTAAGTGAAAAATCTCTTTGGTTTCTGCTTTTGTTTTTTTTTTCCCCAGCTATAAGGAAAATGCTCTAAAGTTATCCAAGATACAGCATGACCAGCCTGTTAAGCCTCTGGACAGAGCTGTCTTCTGGATTGAATTTGTCATGCGTCACAAAGGAGCAAAGCACTTGAGATCAGCTGCTCACCATCTCACCTGGTACCAGTACCACTCTCTGGATGTTCTGGCATTCTTGTTCACCTGTACAGCCACTATTGTCTTCATTCTTTTCAAGTGCTGCCTATGTTGCTGTAGAAGATGTGGCAGGATTGCAAAGAGGAAGACAGAATAGACACCTTGTTTCCATCAGCAGTTTTCTTCTCCTAGGCTGACTCAGCAAGGCATTTATGCACATCGGTTGGTGAAAAAGTTTATTGGGATGTGCTTTAAACTGGGCTTATCATGAATGCACCACAACAAAGCTGCTGTGGGGCAGAGCTGCTTGCTTAGCCAGCAAATTCCTTCTTGTTTAAATAAAACTAAATTATAGTTGCTTTATCCCTTGGGACCATGTTAGCTGATCACATATGGTCCTTGCCATGGTAAATTGTTGCTCTATATTTTCAAATATCTCAAATATTTTAGTATATTTCATAAATTCAGCCTTGCCCTATGGGTCTGCAACTAGACTCCTTATCCTAACTCTGTCCTCTCCTCTAGTGTTATGCAGGCTTGATCACTGATTCACAACCAAAATGCCTCCTCTCTTGTCAGAAACTCTCCAGACTGGACAGCGAATCCAAGATCAGGGGCTCCTAAAAAGTGCCTATCTGAAGGGCCACCATCATGAAAACTGGAAGCTGCAAGTGGCAAATGCACTGACTACTTGGGGGCTGAGGGGAGATTAGAATCCTAAGACCACCATAAACATTACTTTCCTGGGAACCATTTCGCTTTCCCATTCAGTCAGGAATTCCTACTGCACAGGCCATCATTCTAACTGCAACATTGCAGGGGTGTGACACTTCTGTCAGGAACTTGCCCATCTTAACTCCCAAAGGCCTCTGAGCCATGCTAATTGATAAATGCAGGAAAACCTCCAGAGAGGGAACTTGCAAAGAAGTAACATTCCATGTGGAAACAGTGCAATAGCCAACTTGCCTTGCCTGAAGAGCTGGAGAGAAAATAGTGCTGCACTTGGGCCAGATAGGAGTGGTAGTAAACATAGTACCTCTTTAACAGGTGTTAAAGATGCCTGTAAAATGCTGCTAGTCCAGGCCTCCTGTTCCAGGTAAGGTTATTTCACTGCTGTGCCAGCTTACTCAAGAAAAATCCCACTCAGATTTTAACTGATATTTTTAAATACTCTGGAATTGTTTTAAAACAGAACATGATTATTTGTTTACATAATAAAATTCCTTATGCCACATCAACTTTTTTTTATTAGCATTGTCATGTTTCAACATCTGCTTAAACCTCTTCACACTACAACATGTACAAAAGCTCAACTGTTTCCAAACTATAGAGGGGTTACAAGAAGAATACTGCATATCATGGCAATTTCTGGTACACTGTTCGTGTTGTCATGATGGGATCATAACCAGGAATATGCACAGTGAATAGAAAGGGGAACTGCATGACACTAATCAGAAAGGGGTTGCTGTAACTGTTCAGAGCTGGGTGGGTCCCTAGGCACAGCTCCATCAGGCTGGATCACTATGAGCTCCTGTCACCCAGTTGCTGAGATGTCAGTTTGGATGCCAGAAGGCCAGCAAGCCCCTCCCAGCATGCTGCACAGGTATTGGTCAGACAGGGCTAACAAAGGACACTGGAAACAGGATAGATGGGAAAAGATGGACAAAGTGCTCCACAGTACCTGTAAGGAGGTGCATCATTTCTGTAACCTACTCTGAGTAATTTGGCTTATCTAGTACTGAATTTAAAAAGTAAAACAACCAATCAACCAACCCAAACAAAAAACCTCAAAACCAAAACCCCCTCTTCATTTTAGAGTCTGTATATAATGCAGAGAAAGATATCAAAGTATGAGGGTGGTCTGTGACACATTAGACACAGAATGTATTCTAAATCTGACAGACTGATCTAATCCTCCAGCTAGCAGGCACTACCTCTCTGTGCACAATAAACTGTGCTGAGGAGCCCAAACACATATTCAGCCTCTAGTACTGCTTAAAGAAGCCAAACATATTTGTACATTGGAGATCTAACCTTTTGTCTAACATATGTAGATGTCTACTGTGACTGTAGACTAAAATAAGCAGAGCACAAATCAGATCAATAAACCACATTTCCACAAATGCCACACAGTGGCCAGTCCTATACTAGCATTTATAAAAAGAGCTGCAGCCCCCAGCAGGGTGGAGCTGGAGGTGTTTAAAGCACAGTCTGGATTTGTTATATGAGAAGACACTGAAGGAAGTTTATGAAGAAGTCCACCAAGGCAGTGCTACTCTTACAAGTTTTGGAAAGTTGGAAATTACTGGATTAACTGAAGAACTTTCAGTACAAGTTTTAATTTTTTTACCCCCCCTCACATTTTTACCATTGGCATAGATAAAATACTTCTTATTTAAAAGAAGTAACAAGTGATCACTACAAAGAGCATAGGTACAGACTCTGGATCTTACAGGACTAACACATTCCTGAGACAGGTATGTCGTGGCTGAGGACAGCCTCTCAACGGCTTGAAGATCGTATGATTATGTTGAAGACGTAGGGCCTTAATTATGATGAGCTGAGGGAGTTATTGGCCACTTCACTATGGAAACAGAAATGCAATTACCTTTTATATCAACAGTCCTTTTCCTTAATTCAGGCTTCAGATCAGTTTTGTTTACCACAAAGAACACTTGAACTATTTCTGAACATAGATCTTTTTCTAGAACTGCTGGAATCTAGCAAAGCTGTCAAGCTTAGAAAACCAAGAAATCCAACATGGAGTTTTAAACATTTCAATAGTTACCAATTTATTTTTATAAAAAAAAATGGTAGCAACGTAGAATACAGCAATATTTTCTGGTTCCACGCACGCAGGTTGTGAACATTCCAAGCAATGTGTACATTTTGGAAAGAGACCAGACAAGAGAATTGACCAAAATGTTACTGAACACAGGAAGATTTTTAAAAAAGGCTAAAAATTAAGTATCAATAGTGTCTTCTTAATATTGCTTTCCTTACTGAAGACTGAAAATAAACCACTTGACTTCACAGATAGGGTTAAAAAATGGGGGGGAAAGAGGGGGGGGGGAGGGGGAAAAAGGCTGCTACAACACTGCCATACCGTCAAAAAAAAAGAAAGAGATCATACTTCAGTATTTGCATACTTGATAGCAGCATTCTCCCATCGAACCATATGAAACTACAGGAAGAAAACATCAAAGCAAAAAAAAAAAAAAAAAAAAAAAGGCAGTTATCCATCAGTATTCAAAAACCTAGAATGAAGTCACTAAGTAGAACACTTATTGAGAATTAATCAATATCTACATTCTTAGCTGCTTCCAACTTTGTTCCAATAGAAACATGAAGTTGTGTGTCAGCTTTGTGTATTTTATTTTTGGCCTATTTGAATTTTTCCAGTTCATAGTTCACTGCATGCTTGGAATAGAGAGGGTCATTATAAATCCTTCTACACAACGAATTTTAAGTAGACAGCTGAAAATAAAATGTACTACTTGTAAACACACAAAAAAATACAAGCTTTTTTTTGATTCAAGTGAGCACTGTTCCAGATAGATTATCTTCGGTATCTACCTCTTTCACCTCTGTCTCTGTCCCGGTCACAAATCCTCTCTCTCTCCCTTTCCCGATCACGGCCTCTGTCCCGTTCTCTGTCTCTCCGATTATCTCGAGGCCGGTCGCGTTCCCGCTCTCGGTCCCTCTCCCGGGGCCGGCTTCTCCGACCGCTGACAACAGCTTGTGTGCGGCGAAGGAAGTCATCTACTCTCATGTCATAGTCGTGCTGTGATGAAAGGAGAGCTCTGCTATTTTCTTTCCCAGATCAGAATTCCCTCCCTTATCTATAAGGCTGGCTGTAACTCCTCAGAAAGCCCAGTATTTAAAAAAAGGCAAACCCAACCAAACCAACTGTCCAGCATCCAAGTGCAGAATCTGGGGTTCAAATGCCAGACACCAGCAAGAGACCTGAAAGCTAAGGAGCTTCCAAGTCAGCTAACAGAAAACTTAATAATCCACCGTTTTCTGATGTGTCTGTAAGAAGTTTTAAAACACAAAATTCTGCTGATAAAGTAATTTGTTGCCAATGAGCACAAGCAAAGTTACAGCCCTGTCCTTACTCAAACCAGGTTTCAGGATGAAAATGTTCAGAGGTGGACAAGCCAGAAGCCAATTTAAGCATACACCTCAGTTTAAGAGTATGAGAATTTTTCACCTCCACCTCACCAGGGAGAGAAAGGCTTTTCAAATTTGCTGTAAGTGTGTAGTCAATCTAAACAACTGATCTTTCCAAGGAACTCTAATACAGGTCATAAACATGCTGTTTATCATAGCAAACAAAGCTCAGGCTAGGCTACCCCTGGACTCCAGATTCCTTCTCCAGCCTGCAGACTTGCATCCCCTCTGTCTGTGTGGACACTTACTACTCGTTTGTCTCTGTATCTCGCTTCATGGGGTACAGGATGATGTCCTGAGTATGGAGGGTGAGCTTGAGGTGGAGGTGCATGGTGCTGATAGTAAGGATGGTGTGGTGGTTGCTCCATACCTGGATACGGTGGCTACAAGAAAGTTACAGGAAGTTTGTTGAAGCAAAGGAATGCACACAAGGAGTGCATCATTCAGATGGAAAACACAGCATCTATATAAATCTGATCACAGCCTCCTAACTGAACAGCAGACTACTTTCCGTTGGGCTGGCATGCTTTACTCCTTCTCTTCCATTGCTTGGAGAAGTCTGGTAACCACCCCCCGCCCCCCACAGCCCAATATCCCTTCCATCTGCATCTGCCTCAATACGACACCGTACACAAAACTTCTGCTATTTTAATGTGGCAGTTTCAGCTCTGGGTTTTTTAAACCTTTGTGTATAGAATGTGAATTCTGCCCAAACCAGTGAGCTCTTACAGAAACAAGTCATACTCATTCCTTATGAATTTGTTTCTATTCTAAATTAAAAACCAAATAATTTGCAAGTCAAATTATTTGACAAAATGCTAGCCCTCTTTTTTTGTTTTTAACAAAACCTATTTTGGCTGATTTCTTTCATTTCTTCAATCTGCATAGTCCTCCTTTGCCTAGTACCAAAGCATCTTGGCTTGCATTTTTGTTACAAAGCAAGTAAATGAAAGCACTGGATTCTAGGACAACTACTTGGACTGC